TGCTGTTTGTAGGGTACACTGAATTTGGCAGAAGGAGAAGTGGATACTTGGACATGGTTTACACATAACAGTAATCCATGGTTTATTTAACCCACACATTGTTGAATTCTAACTTGCCATAATGGGAACCCTGATGCACTAACAAACCATGGTTTATGAAACCACAAACAACCCAGAAAGAGAACCCTTGGTTTGATTTTGAGTTGTGAATGCTGGGTTGATTAAATCACAGCTTGTCATTGTGTCTGAATCCAGGACTGTGGGTTGTTCGTGGGTTGTTTCATCATCCTAAAGAGGCACCAGGCAAAAATGGTAAAAAAACACACCCAACCCCAACAACCCATCTGCTCAATATGCCCATCCTGCAGTGCCATAAGGGCAATCATGGTGGATAGATGGAGAGGGAAACAACTCAGGGACTGAAACATCAAATCATGGGCTGCTTGATCATTGCCAGACAACCTCTGGGTAGGCCAATAAACCATGGGTTAACTGTGTTAAATGAAACATGGGTAAGATTTATCTGACCATCAGCTCTTCATGTCTTTGCAACCATTGACAAAAGTACCCTCCCCCTAAAAAAATTCAATGTCTCTCCAACCAAAAGTGAGAGCTGCCCTTACAATAGAAATGACCAGGATTTAAATACCATTGTCACAGCTCGTCCATCCCAGAGAAAAGGTAGCAGCAACACAAGAAGTTCTTGACCTCACTGCCTGCATCTTATTTAGTGTGAAACATATAATTCTTTTTTAGCATCTTAAAAATTGTCCTGCACCTGCAATTTCCAAGGTAAAACAGTTCATTATCTACATTTTGAAGACTGGGAATGGCTTGGGGTGGGAGAAGAATGGATTGTGATAGCAGTCTTCATGCTGAATACTGGAGGCGAGCGGTCGGGCTAAGAAACTGGTTTACAATACTCAGCAGAGCAATCCTGTGGCATCACACTGCTATTGCAGGTTAGGGAGGATGCTGAAAGATCGTAATTTACAACAGTCCTGCAATGTAGTCCATGCTTTAACACTGCTGTTCAAAGTCAGGGATCAAGTCACTTTGGACTACTGTACAAACAACCGGGGTTTTTTTAGATCAACATAAAAAAGCTGCCTCAAGTTGCAGCAAAGCTCAGTCTACAGAAATTTTCCCCTTCAGATCTCCTCTCAGGACAGCCCAGTACAGAGCTGGTTTGAAGAGTCCTGATACTTCACTGGCCTGCAATTTTTCAAATGCTCCCATTGAAAGCTTGCACACTGAGAAGAGCTATGCTGCCATTCACTTCTGTTTTTATTTTAGTTATTATAATTAGCGTATTTATATCCTGCCTTTTTCCTTTAAAGGAACCAAGGGCAGCTCACATAATTCTCCTTATAATACAATCTCATCCTCACAACAACAACCCTGTTCAGGCTAAGAGTCCATGACTGGCTCAAAGTCACCCATGGCTGAGTGGGGGCTAAAACCAGATCTCCAGAATCCCAGTAAATCACACCTACTGTTTTTTGGATAGCTGTCCACTACCCAATCACAAGGCCATTAAAAGCTTGGCTTTCTTGGTGATTTTTTCTGGGAAATTCTCACTTCCACACAAGAACAAAAACTATAGACCTGCTTCTTTCCAGAAATGAGTGAGCCTGCTCATTTCAGGTTGTCCCAGAGTGCAGATTGCTTGCATAACTGAATTGGTGTGGCCCGAGAGAATCAGTGGTTGTGAAAGTACCTCACTCAATTCTTTCCTGAGATACAACCCACTGATGTCAATTACATCAGTAATTAAACAAACACTTCAGCATTTAAAATTGACTCTCAATCAGCACCTCTTTTTCCCCATGGGAATTTCATTTCAAAAAGAAATTAAAAGAAAGTTAAAAATAAGGACACAAAACAGATGATACATAGCTGGAGAAATTCAAGGTGCAATCCTATAGCCTCCCAACTTTGTCTATGGGGCTACGAGAAAGCATAGGATTATTCAGATCCCAGCCTTGAGATCCTGCAGCCTCGGAGCTAGCAGTCCAAATGCAGAACCCCACCTGCGCCCTTCTTTGCCAGCATGGAATGAAATGTGTTAGCAGCTTCTCCAAGGTTGGAAATCAGTCTCAGGAGAGAGACGAAGAAGGAAGGGGAGAAGGATGGAGCTGGCAGCTTATGCCATATGCCGGCTGCATCCCAGCGTCCTTCCGTCCTGCTCTGCCATGCTCTCTTGGTGAAATGCAAGGCAGGAGGGATTGCCACTGTCCGGCCTCACACCCTGTGTGAGACACACACAAGTCTCCTTGTGGCAGGCATACCTGCCTCAAGGGCAGACAGCATAAGATCGCACCCTAGTCAGCTCCACTGGCTTCCGATTGAAGTCCGGGCCCAATTCAAGGTGTTGGTTATGACCTATAAAGCCCTAAACGGCTTGGGACCTGGATATCTAAAGGAACGCTTGCACACATATATGCCCTCCCGCCCCTGAGATCAGCAACGGATGCCCTTCTCCGGGAACCCTCTGGGAATGAGGGTGAGTACCTGGAGGAGGGCTTTCTCTGCGGTGGCGCCCCACCTATGGAATGCGCTCCCCAGAGAGGTCCGCCTGGTGCCATCGTTATCTGTTTTTCGGCGCCAGGCTAAGACCTTTTTATTTAAAACTTATTTTAATTGCTAAATTATTGAATTAATTAGGATTTTAAAATTAGCCGAGAATGCACCGGGGGGTTTTAAATGTTTTTTTTTTCTTTTAAATTATTATATTATTATTATTATTAATGTGTTTTTATGTATTTTTTGTGAGCCGTCCTGAGGCTTTGTTGCGAAGGGGGCGGCATAGAAATGTTTTAAATAAATAAATAACAAATAATAGTCAGTCACCAATTTTGAGGACGGCTGGCTGGGAAATTGGTTGCATGCCCCTTTTATCTACAAAAAGGTCGAAGGGCTATTTTTCAATCTAAACTTGTGCAGGATCATACCCTCAGTCTTTCACTGCGATGCTTTCAGTGACAATAGATGCAAGAATGAAAATATGACGTAGATAGTGCATATAACCCCTGAGAGTCCCTAGGACTGCAAGGAGAACAAACCAGTCAGTCCTAGAGGAGATCAACCCTGACTGCTCTTTAGAAGGCCAGATAGTGAAGATGAAACTCAAATACTTTGGCCACCTAATGAGAAGGAAGGACTCCCTGGAGAGGAGCCTAATGCTGGGAACAATAGATGGCAAAAGAAGAAGGGGACGGCAGAGAATTAGGTGGCTAGATGGAGTCACTGAAGCAGTTGGTGTGAGCTTAAGTGGACTCCGGGGGATGGTGGAGGACCGGAAGGCCTGGAGAAATGTTGTCTACGGGGTTGCGATGGGTCGGACACAACTTCCCAACTAACAACAACAACAAAAGTGCATATAAAAGGGGCAAGGTAGGTGCCTTTCCCAGAAAAAAACGAGTCAGTTGAACTTGGTTGGCGTGTGATCAAATTTTGGAGGGCTCCAGGATAGGAAATGAGTGGGGAAAGCTGCCATTTTTGAAACTTGCTTGCTGCATTTGCTGAGCACATGCAACAGCCATGCTTGGTCAGAGCAAGGGGCTACCTAGCCCTGTACAAGGACACTGGTTCAACAGCTCCCTCCACCATGTTCTCCAGCAACCGGCAGGACGGGGGGGAGGGGACCATCCCTGATGCTGTTGCAGCACATACCCATTGGAGTAGCACCCGCCGATAGCCGCCTCCAACACGAATCTGCCTTTAGAACACTTCCAGACTCTGGAATGCACTTCCCAGAGAGGTACGCCTGCCTCCGAGCCTATACTCTAAAAAACCTTTTTATTTAAACGGCATTTTAAAATTAATAGTTTTTAATTTTAAAAACTAACATGCGTTTAGTTGCAAACTAAAACAAGAGTTTAGTTGCTCTCATTTGTTTTGTGATTTTTTGTTTTGTTTATTGTTTTTATACATTGTTTTGTTTTTAATTCATTTATTGGAGATTGTTGTCGTTTAAAATTGCCTTTTAAAGCATTATAAGCGATCCTGAGATTTTTATATAATAGGACGGCATATAAAAGCTCTCAATAAATAAATAAATAAAACTCTGCACTGTGTGCAAAACCAATTCCTTTGATCTCCCATCAAACAGCTTCACAGTATGACCCTGGGTTCTGTGAGAAAGGGATTAAAATGCCCCCTCTCCATTTTCTATGCCCCATACCTAAGTTGGTGCGCCTCTATCATGCCTCTCCTTACCCACGTTTTTTCTAAGTTAAGCAATCCCAGGCGTTGTAACTTCTCCTCATGGGGGGGGGGGTGTTTCAGCCTCTTTTAGTTGTCCTTTCTGCACTCTTCCCAACTCTACAATATCCTGTTTGAGATACAGTGGTCAAAGCTTTGTGATAAGCTAAGTGGGCACATCATAAATGTGCATAAGGGCAATAAGACATTGGCAGTGTGATTTTCAGTTCCTTCCCTAATGATGCCGAACATGGACTGTGTCTTTTCCACTGCAACATGCAGCAATGCCATTTTCACTGAATAACTTTATATATAATCACAGTCTCCCAGTGTTATTAACCCACTGTGGTTCCACTGGTTGCTCTGGAGATCAACTGGTGAGCCCTGAATCAAATCAAGCCAGAGCTTTCCCTAGAAGCAAACAAGGACAAAACTGAGGTGTTCATACTTTGGACTCATCAAGAGAAGGCAAAACTCCCTGGAAAAGCCCATCGTGCCTGGGAACGTCGAAGGTGGAAGACCGACTAGGAGGTGGATAAAGGAAGCCACGGCTTGCGTTTACGAGAGCAGGGCTGTCACAGAGAGGACGTTTTGAGGGTCCTTCGTTCAATTCACAGTGTCGTCATAAGTCAGACACAATTTGATGGCACATAACACACTAGCGCTCTCCAGCTTGTAGCTTCTCTTTTGACCACCTTTGTTTCCTATTCCCTGCACACACACACACACACACACTCTCTTCTTAATTCTCACCCAGTAAAAGACCCCCTCAAAAGACTTGTTTGCCAACTTACCTAACAAAATTAGAGGACCTGCATCCTTGCGCAACACTCCTCCTCCTGCACATACAGGTCTTTTTCATGCCAGCAAGCCATTTTCGATCCAATTCAGAAACGACTGTGCAAAAGTGAGCACTGACTATAGGTTACACCTGGAGGCTTCCCAGCTTGCATGGAAATTCTGAGAGTGACAGGCACTTTTCCAAGTGCGACAGTGTGCAAGTTAACATGACACGAGCAAAGTTCCAAAATAGCCTAAGCTATTTTTACATCCATGTTAATGCAGTACTTCTGGCATTTCATTCACTGACTAATCCATCCTGGATTTGTTTAATAGTACGCCTCATACCCATAACTGCAGCTGCTCGATGGTCTCTGGTACATGTGGGGAGGGAGGGTGTAGAGAAAGGACTGAATTACCAACACATATCCTCCATGGAACTCCAAAATTGAGAGTCCCCCAAATCTTTGAGGGAAAGACCTGTGCAAAAATGTACCCAAGGAAATCTACTTTCATGAATGCATTTCTTAATCTATAGTTATAAATAACTTTTCCGCTGATTGCTTCTAAAGAAGAATACAACTGACCTAAGAAATCACACCCCCAAATGCAATATAAAGTCAAAATCTTTAACATATAACAAGCAGCAGCAGAGTATCTTAAACAAAAGTAAAATCCATTTTGAAATAAAATATTACATGCTATTTATCATTACACAGGATTGTGTACTACTTTCTAGTGAACTATCAAAGTAGCTAAAAATGTAACCCTAAAATATGACAATAAAAGTACCATTAAATCATCACTAAATTCCAATTAAACTATAATCATATGGCTTGTATCATTCTTATACTAATACAGACCAGAAGAACCCTGCACTGCTGGATGTGTTTCTTCATTTTGGGACAAGAAAATCCCTTGTAGCAGGGATAGGCAGAAAGAAGAATTCCAGAAGAGCTGGATTGCAATTCCCAGAGTTATTTATTTATTTAAGATATTTATATGCTGTCCTGTTGCAATAGCCTCAGGACGGCTTACATAAAATATAACATAAATAAATTCCCGACCCACACTGGCCGCAGTTAAAAACATAGAAAAGACAATATTAAAACTTATTAAAATGTTGCTGGAATAAAAAGGTCTTAACCTGGCACCGAAAAACAAATAATGACAGCGCCAGGTGGACCTCTGGTTATCAGTTCATCTCATACAGTGGCCCAAAGTGTTGAAGCCAGGGCGTGCAACTTGTGGCGTTCCAGATGTTTTGGCCAGCAGTTCCCATCATCTCAACATTGGCTATGCTGTCTGAGGCCGGGGCGAGTTGTAGGACAAACTATCTGGAGAGCTACAACCTTCCAACCACTGTTCTAACGTAATACTCTTTTTTCAAATGAAATATATTAAGTAGGGCAGTGATGGCAAACCTTTTTGAGACCAAGTGTCCAAACTACAACCCAAAACCCACTTTTTTATTGCAAAGTGCCAACACTGCAATAAAACCTGAATACTGAGGTTTTAGTTTAGAAAAAACAACTCAGACATTAACATCTTTTGTCCTAAAAGAAAAACACAATAACAGCGCTTTCAATGATACAGACAGCCTTTTATTGAAAGGTAAAAGTTTGCATTTGGTGTGCTTTTGCACAATTAGTGTGATCTTGGCTGTTGGATGCATGCTGATAATTCGCCAAACCTTGGCTCAAATATGCCAGGGGGACAGCACAACGTTAGAAGAATATCAGTCTCTTAATCAGAACATCTCTTTGCTAAACCTTAGATATTTCAATTTTTCTTAAGAAAACTCAAAGCTGAAATCTTGTGTTGAGAAAAACGAATGTATTAAAACTCACAGCCAGTCCAAGCAAACACACACACACACACACACACACAGTATATATCTCCTTAGCAGCGCACTGACCAGCCATGCGAAAGGTCGGATGAGTCGCAGTTAATGAGTTGCAGCTTGTGACGTCATCGCCTGGCGCCGCTACTCCTTTCTGAGCGTGCGCATGGCCCCTGTGTGCACTGTTATCCGATGCTCGACTGCTGGGGTGATGCTGGGGCGACCTGGCTCGCGTGCCTACAGAGACGGCTCTGCGTGCCCACTGCGGCACGCGTGCCATAGGTTCGCCACCACCGAAGTGGGGTATTCGTTGGATCTAACAAAAGCAGTACTAGTATGGTCAACCTATGGACAAAGCGCTGCCCAGGCCGAAACATCAAATGAGAGGTTTGGCCTGGCTGTAACTCTGCCTCCGTGGCGTGTGCAGCCCAGAAGCCTCTGGTACCCAGGGAGTTCTCAGTTTGCACAGGGAACAGTGCTGAGTTTCTGTCAGGTAAAAAAGGGAGACTAAGCAACATTGTGCTAGAACACAGGACTAGGGCTGGGGAGACCCAAGCTCAGTTCCCTGCTCTGCAGTGTAAATGCCTTGAGTTCCTCAGAGGAAATGCAGCAAGGCGGCGAAATAAAACAGAGTTGGGGAAGGTGGGGCCATCCAGATGTGGAGATGTAGTTAGAGCTTGTCTACATGAGCTTGTTAATTGCTGGTTCTACTTTGGTTTAATCACATGGGTGAGTTCAAGGGTCTACACAAGGAGCTTTTCCTTTCCTATTGCTCTACCCCATCACTTCTAGGTGGAGTTATACTCTACTGGAGCAGAACAAAAACACCAAATATATATTCTGCTTTCAGAAATAATGCCCCATTTTCCTGGGTTGGAAAAACGGAAGGGGTGAGAAGTGCCCTTAAAAAATGGCAGCAAAACTGGTGGGTCTAACACTGTCTAAAGAGCCTGCAAACACCTGTAAAGAATGAGTACACAGTAAAAGACACATGTAATAAAACTCAGATTGCTTGTAGAAGCCACCTGTGCCTCCTCTTTCCTTGCTTGCTTCAGACCACACCTTTGCATTGCTGTTATCAATTTTCCATCCCATGCAACATTGGAAAGCACATGACTATGCACACCCGAACCCTCACAAATCAGCACTTCCACCTAGCTCAATGTGGATGACCAGCTAAATCAGCCTTTCCAACTTGGATCTGTTCCCCAACCCCCAGCATTCCTGAGAACTGGGGCTGATCCCCCAAACACCTGCAGTTTGCCAACTTGGGTAAGACTGAGCTAAAATCAAGCAAACTGGATGTCACATCCCTTCTGCTCTCCTGCACAACAGAAGTGAGTGCCTGGAGAAATGCAACCAAAAATTAGGCAGTCAAAAATGGTTTCTGTAAGACTGGGGTGGATCTACCCCCTTCCAATAAATGAGTTCCTATTTACTTGGGGGTTTTATTTTCATGCAATGCATGAAGCTGGTTTGTGGTCAGGCAAGCCACCCTTTCATTACCCAGCATCCAAAAACCATTCCCGGTCACTGTGGGCCAGCAGCACAAAAGCGCAGATGCAATCTCTCCCCGGGATGGCTGCCAATCCAGCCTCTTCATGCTAGAGTGGTAGATGGGTATGGAGCAAGCCAGTGCAGCTGCTTCTTGGCCCAGTGAGGCTTCTGCAGAAATAACCTCCGGCATTAGGTTAAGTGCATTTGCTGGACAGGGAAAGAGAAAATGAGCACCACACCAGCAGGCACACCATTCCCGCCCTTAGCAATCGTGTGCATGGTTATTTAAGAGCAAATTGCAGGAAGGAGACACACTCAACCTGAGTTGGGAGAAAGGGTTCAAGTCACCTACCTCCACGCCAGGGTCTCTTGGGCCTCATATTTGCTTTTAGGCAGAAGTTCATGAATCCCTGTCATTAGCTCTCTTTTCCTTTATTTTGCCAGTGGTGGAAGGAGAATCCATCTCCTTACCAGGTGGCTCCTAGATCAGACCAAGGGCCTCTTGAATTTGGCATTGCTCCCACTGGGGTCAGCCAGGCACCTCTGGGAAGTCCACCTGAAGGCTGAGCCTACACGGGAGCTTTCGGTGAGCAACACCACTTAAAGCTTTCAAAAAGAGGGCCAAAAAAGGCTTTTTGACACTGCCAGGAATTCTAAAGCTTCATGAGGCCAAGACTGCCTTCAAGACACTTCCGCATTATTCTTTAGCAAGAAGTGCACAGGTTGTATTTTTTCCTTAGCATTAACTTTTCTGCTTCTCTAGCTGCTATAATAAAATGTTTATTACAATCACACTGTGTTTATATCCCACCTTTTTTCTCTTGTAAGGAATACGAAGTAGCTCACAAAACTTCAGTTTATCCTCAGAACAACACCTCTGTGATGCAGGTCGGGTTGCAGTTCTGCAACTGGCCCAAAGTCACTCCGTGAGCTTCGTGGCTGAGTGGGGTCTCAAACCCGGATCTCCCAGGTCCCCAGTCCAACGCTTTCACCACCGCACCACACTGGCTCTCAGCTGACGTAATTAACTGGACAATTCTCCATATGTGATTCTAGACACAAGCTCACGCTACCGTCCACTGATTAAGAGCAGATATCCCTGCATGGCATTACAGGGCAAGATATATTTTTAAAGGGTTTTAATGGCTATATATAGTGCAGAGCATGGCACCTGCAGGTGGTGGAGCTCACGGTATTTTTAGTGTCGAGGTACTCTCATCTCTGGAAATAAACTTGGGAAGGTCAGCCCCATCCCCTCGCAAACCAGCACACGTTAGGAGCCTGTCTCCACTGAATACCAAAATGCCATTCCGCTTCTGGGAGGGCAATTTGGAAAAATGACAAATCGGGCAGGTGGCTATAGCGATGCTTATGGCCAAGTGGCACCCAGGCCATGAGTTACAACGTACTAGTCCTTATTGCCAATCGAGGGGAGTTGTTTTATCAGCAACTGGATCCCAGTAATTCAGACAAGTCTCAAAAGGAGCTCAAGCGTCGGAATAGGCCACCAAGATCAAAACTGACATGCGGAAGTGGGGTTAAGATCAGAGCAAAGAACCATGAAGGAAGCACAGTCACCTGCTAGAAAATCTTGCAGAAACCAGAAAGCATCCAGCTGTAGCAGAGAGAGCGATGGGTGGCAGGACACACCAAGAGCAGCTCCACCAGGCTGCTCCTCTCCCTGAACGATTTCCATTCCAACGAGTCATTCTAAGCACTGCTAGGTAATTTCAAGAACTGG